GGTCTCCATCCATTCCCTGGATTTTTCAAGGGGCAGGAGATGCCCAGTGGGCTCCCTGTACTGTAGCCTAAAAAGTTCTCAAGGCAGGACGCCGGGCAGTTTCAGAGCCAACGTTGCTCTTTGCTTCCCTGTCTCTCAGGGATCACTCTTCTGTACTGCCTGATATCCAATGTTGTGAAAACTATTGTTTTGATAAGTTTTGCCTGGTTTTTGTCAGTTCTTTCAGTAGCAATGGGAAATCCCATCTCTGACTCGTCATCTTGAATGGAAGCAGAAGTCCCCTGACGCTAGATTTTAATGGCCTGTTGTTCTGGCTGTGAGGGAAAGTCCCCTGCACTGACAAAGAGCATGGATGCTAACTCGAGTCATGTCAGCTGAAACCTCTGCTTCATCTCCTGGCCATGTGACCTAGCCCAAGGGAACCCTGCTGTGCCTCTCTCCCCTCATCTGTAAAATGGGGGTGATAACAGTTGTTCCTCAGCAGATTTTTGAGAGGATAGAATGGGATAAAGCACTTAAAGCATGAAACAGTTTCTGGAACTAAGTACATTCAAGTACATCTTAGCTGTTATTCTCATTCTAGTTTAATTATTGTAAGACTTACATAAATACTCGTCAAATGAATGAGAGCCTGCTCTTGGCCCCAAGTAACCATGAGTGTCATCACCACAGGCAACTGGAACCTGGGACCCTAGTGGGTGTGCTGGGGGAGCTGGAAACCTCAGCCTGTACTCCTGAATGATGACACCACCATGAGGCCCAATTAATTGCTGTTATTCTACGGTTCACATCTCCTAAGTAACAGACCTGTTTTTTTTCCCCCCAGGGGAAGACAAGAAAATCCCTAGTGAATCAAATAGCCCCTCATCATCCTCCCTCTCAGCTCTGAGTGATTCAGCGAACAGCAAAGATGATTCAGACAGCTCCCAGAAAAATAAGAGCGGGAACAACCTACTGGTCATCTCAGTCGTGCCTGGGAGCCAGTCCTCACTGAATAGTGAGGAAAAGCCAGAGAAAGGTAAAGGAGGAGGCGGGTTGGCCCGCTTAACCCTACCCAGGTTGGAGAATAAGCCCTCGTCAGGAGTGATGTTAGAAAACTGATATTAGGCTTGGGAATACTACTTTCGGCTTCTTTTGCATCCAGTACGGGGTGGGAGGATGAGGACTGGTGACTCTGAAGCTGTACGTGTAACTTCATGTAGCACAGAAATGCAGGGAACAGTGCCTGGAAGGGTATCGCTCGGAGAACGGGGAAAGCAGGGGAACCTTGGCCCCACCGTTGCCCCCCGGTCCCTCTGCCCCATGCACCTGTACACCCAGCTTCGGTCCTTCCAGGGTTCGAATGCGTTTTTTGCAACTTTGTCTGCAAGACGAAGAACATGTTTGAGCGCCATCTGCAGATACACCTCATCACCCGGATGTTTGAGTGTGACGTGTGCCACAAGTTCATGAAGACCCCCGAACAGCTGCTGGAGCATAAGAAATGCCACACTGTCCCCACCGGTGGGCTCAAGTAAGGAAAGCAAGTACAGAACCTTTTACTGTGTTGTTATTAAACACCCTCTCCCCATCCCTACCCCGTCCCCTCCCCGGAAGGTTTTCGGGTCATGGAGAGGGAGAGTTGGGCATGAGGGGAGTGAGACAGGTACCTCTGCTGCCTTGAGCTGGCGATGAATTAGACCTGTCCCCCAGGAGGTCAGCGGGCATCAGCAGAAGAACCCATTGCACAAATAACCCGGGATTCTGAGCAATCAAGAAGTCATGTTGGAGCATCTCAGCAGCAAGAGTAGACTCACCCTACACTGCTTGAGTTTTATTCAGACTCGATTTTAATGGACTTGGGTTAATGTCCCCAAGTGTACATCGTTACACTATCACTGCACTTCATCATCTCAGTTTTTTTAGGTGATTTGCCATAAATCTTTTAAAGAAGCATTACAACCGCTCCATTCACACCCTACCCCCAAATATTGGAACCTGCCAGTTTGAACAGACAGGAGGCAGCGTGCTTCATGCAAAGCCCGTGTGCCTCTTGTGTTCCTGCAAACGTGCCTTATGCCTTCCCAGGAACTGGAATTGGGATCTCCCCCATGAGATCTGACCTTTTCAGTCACATGTTATTCACAGATCCCTCCCCCACCCCAAACACCTAGAGAGTTTGCATCATCATTAACCAATATTTTCAAGAAGCCCTCTGGTCTGAAGTGAGACCAATCAGTTTTTATCAAACGCACTGTGTGTCTGGCTTGATAATAGGTGTTAAAGGGCAAACAAGGAACAAAACCTAATTTCCGCCCTCAGGAAGTGTATGTCCTAGCATGACCAGAATTTAATCTTCTCCACTGATTCTGAAATCAGGGTCCCTGTTCACAAGGCATTTATGGTTTAAGAAAGAGAAAGAAACATACGTCATTGGACACAGAAAGACACACGATTTTCATGTGTAGCTGAAATGATCATGTAATTAAAATAATTTAAAAACTACATTTTACTTAGTACAAGGGGGGGAGAAAAACTTGCTTTAAAACATTTTTATCTTTGAAACTCACAACTTGCCAGAGGGAGGCGTGGCATGACTTTCCTGAGTAGGCATGAGATGGAGAAATCCAGGACCCTGGGAGTCAAGTGTTGGGGGCAACGCAGGATTCTCCCCCGGCTCCTGCCTGGTCAGGGGGAGGCTCCTCAAAGACTTGCCCAAACAGAGGAGCCGGGGGGGGCAGCATCTACTGTCAGATTCCATTTTGTTTCAGTCTTGAGGGGGACCCCTTAAGCGGGAGGGGGAGGGAATGTGGGCTCCAGGGATGGGGGGAGGGGCCGTTCTCATTCAAGACAACCCGTAAATGGGAAATGCCAAGCAAAAGCTTATTTGGGAATCGAATTTGGTTTGTTCCCACTGTCCCTTTCTAAATATTTGCACTCCTATTTAAAAAAAAAAAAAAAAAGGCTGTGTGTTTCTGGGGCGGGACTAGTACTGCTCACTGCCCTTCCCAGTAGCCCAGTCACAACCATTAACTCTGCGGCTCGGCCAGTTGTGGCTCTGCCAGTTAGCCTTTCCTCTGGGAGGAACCAAAGGAACCCCAAGCCTCCGAGCCCTGGGGGAGAATGCACAGTGAGCGCTGATGCTTCCGATACAGACATTTCCCGTGCGGTGCTAACGGTCCCCTGTGTAATAGTTTATGTTCTAGGATGACCAAGTAGAAGAATACTTTGAAAAAATTGATAATGCCTTCTGGCTATACAGTGAGTCTTTGTTGTTTTTTTTTTATTTTGTTTTGTTTTGTTTTGTTTTCCCTTTGCCATATCAGAGACTTAATTTGCCTGAGAGAGTGTCCTTAACGATAAATAACGGGAACATGCAACACCCTTAGCCCTTTCCCTGAGCAGCGCACCAAAGACGGAGCTGTGGGTCACAGAAATGTCCTTAACATGAAACAGACCGCCGATGTCTCAATTGCTTTTCTGTGATGGAACTGCTTGTACTCTATATCCTGTTCATAATGCAGATCAAATAAGATTATACTATTATTTTTCTTTTGCCGTAGCTCAGGACAGTGGTGAGTTTCAGACTCCTCTAGGTAAGGCCCAGCTTGGCATAGGGGTTGTGTGTGCACCTGACCTGGGATTGGGCTTTTATTTCTCTCGTGTGCACTCCTTCTGTGAGCTGAGGTTCAAAGGCTAACGGCGAGCTTGGCGCTGAGGAGCAGTGCACGGTTCACTTGGTTGTGTTGGGCTCTGCTGAACACCTCTCCAAACCCTCAGGGGACCATTCACTCCTGGGCCCTGCCCTGCAGGCGCCTAGCAAGAGCTGAGGCAGCCACTTTTGCATTTGCATTCTGTTTGTAAAGAGAGCACACATGCTACAGCTATCATACCAGCCACTGACTCGAGCCTGGCAGCAACTCCAAGAGCAGCTCAGCAGAATTTGTACACATGTCCTCCCTGCTCCTCCTAGCCCCCTCGGGACAGCCAGGAGGCTTGGGGGGCAGCGTAGCCTTGTTGTATAGGATGGAGAAACCGAGCCACGGAGGGGCCCAGGCTTTGGCCCAGGGCACATCCAGCTAGAGCCCAGCAAGGTGATGGAGCTGGGACTGGAATCTGTGCAGTAATGACACGGTGCCTACCACGTGTTGTACTTATCAGCACTGCAGAATGCAGAAGAAGTGTAAGATATGGTCCTGCCCGCTGAGAATTTATGATCCAGTTGGATTATTATCATCTCCATGATGTAATAATGGATGAATAATGTCTTCAAGCTCCAGATAGTAGCTAGCACCCTCCCTCTGTCCCCGTCACTGGTAGACAGGCGGGTGGGTGGGCATACTTCTGCCATGCCCTTGTCCTGGTCCTCACCTTCCTTCCCTGTGTTGGGGACCAGTGTTGGAAGAGATAGGTGCTATGAGTCCAGATCTATGTGTACACACACACTCACACACACACACAGACACACACAGGCCTTCTCATCCTAACAGCCTTTCATAAGCACGATTCTGACCCTACGACTTTCTGTTTGCTGGAGGTAGCTCTCCCCCTGTAAGCTGTTCTTTAAAACTCTTAGCCTTTTCTGCGTGTGCTTGGTGTGGTGCATGAAACGTCGATTCTTTGTGTTGCTCCCATCTAGAGGGGAGGTTGTGAGGTTTAGACCTCTGCTATGTCTGGTTGGGAGTGGGGAGGGCGCCCAGGGGCCGGGCGGGGAGGATGGAGGGAAGCGACAGCTAAATCCTCGCACTTTCTCTGCGCCCCTTCCTGAGGGTGTCTGGCCAGGAGACCCAGAGCAGGCTGAGCGCATCTCGTCAGAGGTCCTCCTTAGTGGGGACGGCCCTGTCAGCAGACAGAGCCAGAGTCATCTTAACACCTGAGAGGCAGCAGGGCTGGGCTGGGCAGAGTGTGCAGGGTGGCCTAAGGGAAGGCTGGTGAGGAGGGTAGAAACAGGGCCACGGCAGAACCTGTCTGGCTGACCCTCCCTGTCACTGCTTCCCCCTGGCAGGTGCCCATTCTGCATTTATTCCACCAACCGCCCCGCTGCCATGGAGTGCCACCTCAAGACCCACTACAAGATGGAGTACAAGTGCCGGATCTGCCAGATGGTGAAGGCCAACCAGCTGGAGCTGGAGACGCACACACGGGAGCATCGCCTCGGCAACCACTACAAGTGTGACCAGTGCGGCTACCTGTCCAAGACGGCCAACAAGCTCATCGAGCACGTGCGCGTCCACACCGGGGAGCGGCCCTTCCACTGTGACCAGTGCAGCTACAGCTGCAAGCGCAAGGACAATCTCAACCTGCACAAGAAGCTGAAGCATGCCCCCCGCCAGACCTTCACCTGCGGAGAGTGCCTGTTCAAGACCACACACCCTTTCGTCTTCAGCCGCCACGTCAAGAAGCACCAGAGTGGGGACTGCCCCGAGGAGGACAAGAAGGGCATGTGTGCAGCCCCCAAGGAACCAGCTGGCCCCGGGGCCCCGCTCCTTGTCGTCGGGAGCTCGCGGAGTCTCTTGTCTCCCCTGTCGGTCATGTCCGCCTCGCAGGCTCTGCAGACCGTGGCCCTGTCCGCTGCCCATGGCAGCAGCTCAGAGCCCAACCTGGCACTCAAGTCTTTGGCCTTCAACGGCTCCCCTTTGCGTTTCGACAAGTACCGGAACTCGGATTTTGCCCATCTCATTCCCTTGACAATGTTATACCCCAAGAACCACTTGGATCTCACATTCCACCCTCCCCGACCTCAGACTGCACCTCCCAGCATCCCCTCCCCCAAACACTCCTTCCTCGCCTATCTCGGACTAAGAGAAAGAGCAGAGACTGTCTGAGGCAGCCATGTTCTGTACCAAAAACAAAGAGACAGAGACAAAAAAAATAAACCCACAAAACTTAAAACACAACCCCAGCAGGTGTATGTTGCTGCAAAACCTACAGACCCCCATGGGTCTGAACCACGTGTACTGTATATCTTTAGTAAGGAGTAGAGAATTGGCTCTGTGTGTATACCTATTGCATTGACCTGAAAGCTGCTTTATCCAATCTTCAGAGAGGTGACCTACTGCATACATCTACCTACAGAGGCATGCCACCCCAGCCACCCACTCCCACTCTCTGCCCTTCTCCGTTCTTTTATCTGAAAAGAATTCTGTCTTGTTAAGCCCTAAAGAGAGTGTCCTTAATAGCAATCAGCACTTGTACGCTTACATACTGGTGCATTTCGTTTTCTGTTGGGTGAATGGGGTGTGTGGGCGTTTGTGGATCCTGAAAGAGAAAGCCGTGTGCCGTGTGCCGTTGACGTTTCTATCGCACATTCTTCGACCTGGCTTCTTGAACAGCGATGAACATTCTTTGCCCTCCTGGGTTGTTCATCCACTGCAGTCTCTCCCCAAGCTCCTGCGTCACCTTCCCCTCTCTATTTTATGGCGACAGAGTGGTAGGGCCTGGTGCTTCATCGATGAAGGAATGGTAGACAGCCACAGTGCTGCTTGAGATTTCCGACAGAGTACTGGAGACCTTGTGCTCCGATCTTTGGTTTTGAAGACGCGCGGCAGCAAGAGTCTGATCTGGAAGAAATTTCTCACAGCACTGCAGCCAACATCACAAAACTTAAGTGTGTTTTGTGTGTGTGTCCATATGTACACAACGTGTGGTATACTCACACAGTGCGTCATTCTTTTAAGGGCAAACTCTATACATATATATATATATATATATATATATATATATAGTGTTTTAATTCAGTGGTTACCGTTTGTTTGCAGGAAAAAATAAAACCATAGTATGAGTGAAAAATTTTATGGTTGATAAATCCAGCCAAGGAGATTAAAAGGGGTTTGGATAAATTCTGGGTAGAAATGCTCAGACTAAAAAAAAAGAAACGGCAGTTTTGCACAGTGCTTTGGTCTTGCACTAGTTTTTCTCATCTGCAAAAAAATAAAGTAAAATAAAAGGAAGGAAATGTACCTTTTATATGGAACGAGTAGACTGTATGTTTGAAAATTTCGTCACAACCTCATTGACACATAACCACCCAACAAGGTGCTGTTTAGTCCTACGGTTCAGTTTATGCCCCTGAGAAGTTTTCCATTGTGTTTGCAGGTCGTCCGGCTCTAGCGGTATTCTCCATGTTAGTAATAATTCTGTATTCCATTTTGTTAACGCCTGGTAGATATAACCTGCTAGGAGGCTAACTTTATACTTATTTAAAGCTCTTATTTTGTGGTCATTAAAATGGCAACTGATGAGCAGCACTTTATTGCAGCAAGAAGCAGATGTGGCTGGTTGCATAGCCCTTTGCTAATCTTTGAAAGTAATGGGTGATTTAAAAGGAAACGAATTCTTTGGCTGACTGTGTTAATTGCTTGTATTTTTAAGACAACAGAATTTCCACTATGAAACAGGCTGAAAGAGCAGGAAGAAATGTGCTTTGTATAATAATGGGAAGTCTGGGATATAAAAGTTTATATATTATTTATCTATTGAAAAACTGGTGTACAGGAGGAATGCTTTCTTACTGCGTTGCTGTTTTCCATCATGTGTTATATCCTAGAGTTGGGAATTTTTTTTTTCCATCTGTTTCACCAGGGGAAAATAAAAGCATACCTAATTTTTTTCCTCTAGTCAGTTTGCTTCACTGAAGCCCCCCTCGAAATTGGTACAGTTCTACAGGAAGCCAGGAGACTGTACCGTCTGTCCACACCATAGCTCCCCCACCACAGACACCCACCCTTCTCCCCGCAGACCTACAGCAGGTGTGCTGCACCTTCCTTCGCCAGTCATCCAGCCCTGGCAAACCTGTTTACACTAAGATGTCCCCGGGGGCAGGGAGGCTGAGCCAGCTAAGGCGGGAAGTTCCCATACCCTCGGTCATCCTGCAGCAGACATTTGCTTTTGGCCATGTTTGAAACGTCATTCAACCTCGCCATGTCAATGTCTCAGTAAAAAGACACTATAGACAGTTATGGACAATACACTCCAAGAATACCGGGAAAATGGGTGGGTCGGTTTTTCTAAAGTCATGTCTTTATCCCCATATAATGGAGAATGTGCCACTTGGCTAATAATGTGCTTTCAAAATTACAAGTTCAGTGATGACAAGAAAGAGGACCACGGTGATCCCACCACAGAGAGGCTGGCAGAAAAGGCGAGGCACATGTTAAGCACCAGCAGGTTAAAAACCTGGAAGGGTGGCCCTGACAATTAGGACTACAGGTGTTACAGCATGCCACTTGTGCAATATGAGGTCCTAGGCGGAAACTTTCAAGATCAAGAGGGATGTTGGAAGGAGACGTTTACTGCTCAAATGCCATGCATTCTCTGCTTGCCACTGAACTTGTATTTGAATGACTTAGTTATGCTTGATGTAATTGGGCAACTTTTGTAGCACTTTGGAACGCGTCATCAACCTTTCTGGTAAATTATAAAAAAGTTTTCTGAGTGAGAAAAGGTGTGTTTGGAGTTTGTTTGACTTTTTATATTATTATTATTGTTATTAATAAAGAAAAAATCTACAGCATTTTTCAGACTCCACCGAGATACTATGTACCCCTGAATTTGGTTTGCAGTTTCATACTCAGGGAAGGATGGATTCCGTAGATATCCTTTCCATGTAAAACACTAACGTCTTTGAGAAATTCACCTGCCAACTAACTTGCAATTCTGTTTTCACTATGCATTCTTCAATGAAAGCTAGCTTATTTTTCCATATAGTAATGCAGTTAGTTTTCTCAGCACTTTCTTCGATCCTTTTTTTTAACCCCTCATGTTATGTTCCGATGATCATACTGTCAAGGTTTGTGTACATTACTGAAAATTTGTATTGTATAAAGCTTTTTGCATTACAAGGCTGTACAGGGTCATTTTGACAGTAACTGGTATATTCCTTTGCATCTTATGTTGCATTGCCAATTTCTAGTGTATCCAGTTTGGAAGTATAATATACTCTAATTAAAAAAAAAAAAAAAGGTTGGCTATACTCTTGTTTCTTTTTCTTTCTTGGTTGCCATCCTTCACCCCTGGTTAGTTTCAGGGTTTGGTTTGTCTTGCTTTGTTCTGATTTTCACTTTTCAGTGTATTTTACATACGTTTAGGAAATGCCCACTACTGTTAGAACTATGGCAAAATGCAAGTTTTGAACAGCCATGGTTACAATGCAAACTGTTTAATGTAAGTCATCCATAGCCATTCAGGTTGACAGCTATCCATCATTCAGCACAGTCGCAGGCCAGCTCCTTCCTGAAATTACTAAGTGACATTTGAAAGTGTTTTCCAGCCTCACCCTCACCTACTTCACATCGTTTTATTGACCCCATAGCCAAAAAGAGAAGGGGGGTCAGATGAATAATTCCATTTATTTTAATGAAGTTTGAGAACTATGAGATTTTAATAAGGAGGGAAAGTGGTATGTTTTGTAAGCTAAAGAATCTATCTGAAGCAGTAGTTCGTCATTCAAAGGAAGGCACCAAAGAAAGAAACTGAGGCCAAAAAGAGAGAGAGGAAAAGCACACTGAGTTAAAACAATTTTTAAAAATCCATTTTAAAGTTCTGTCCATTAGAGACCTTCCCCATGAATCTGTGATGGTTGATAAAAAATATATAAAGCGGCAGAGGAGAACGTTTTGCCTGGCTCACAACTTGCACGCTTATAAATGCCCTTGGCTCACTGCAAGTTTTTAACTGCTTCATTCTAACATTTAAAAAGATCAAATTTACTTTTTATAAAATTAGATAATGTAGGAGAAGCCACTTTGAAAATGACCAGTCAGTAATCAGACACTATTTTCCCCTTCATTTTTTCATCTAATAACTATTTTTTAGGTGATTGAATCAAGGCCTCTCACTTGATTCAAATACCAGGTTTTGTTTTGGGATGGCTAACATTTATTGAAAAATATTTTTAAAAGTCAGATTTCTCTGCTTGTTGCTAGCACTAGAGACAGGAGTGGCACAGATATAGATTTTTGTTTTTTCTGAAGATTCTACACACCTACATCACATTTTCCCTGTGGTGGAGAAAAGCCAGAAATATAAAGAAGATAACCACCAGTTTGGTAATCCTTTCCCGTTAATGGCCGTTAATGGGCGTCCAGTGACTTTGAGGAATGGCTGGAATTGGAGCCACGTGTGACAGAACAGACCACGTCCTCTTCCTTCCTCACCTAGATAGCACTACCTGTGGACCTGGGCATCTCCAAGCCACTAATGTGCCCCTGTTTGAACTTAATCCGAGAGCATACCTAAACTTTCCCTCCTCTCATGTTAAATATATTTTAAGCTGGGACTCAAGGCTATGTTTCCTGTAATATGTCTGGCTGATTGGCTCCATTTGGGGGCCACCAAAAACTGTCCCTGACCATTTAACAGAGCTGCAACAAGGGGAACAAGGAGAAACATCAAGATGTGATGAGCCCGTGCATCTCCCTACCCACAGTCAGAAGCATCATATTAGAACTCTCGCCTACCAAAGGGCATGGGGGTGTTTATGAGCGACTGGAAGGGAAAGGCACATCTCATTAGTTGCCAAAACAGAAATAAAGTCACGGCGGTGCTTTCAATCCATCGGGAAGCAGGAGGCAGAGGCGCCCAGGACATCCAAACGGGTTGGGAGGGAAGAAAGGGGATAGCAGCCAAGTGATTTCATCTGTGCTTCCAGGAGACAAAGCATGTGAAACTGGGAACCTTCCCAACAGCGCCTTCCAGCCTGGGAGCCAAATCACAGGCTAGCAGGCCGGGGGCTCCATTCTAAGAGTCATCAACCACAAGTATTTAAGAGGCCTCGGCCGGCATTCTTACTTGTATCACTCTCACAAAATGAGGTTTACGGCGCAAAGAACTACAATTAACTAAGAAAGCAATGTCCATAAAGCAGGCTCTGGGGTAAATAAAGTGCGGTGACTCTGGGGACCAGGGGGCCCACTCTACCCCAGTCCAGCGTCTGAATGGTCTCAGGTCAGCCACTGAGGCCTCTTTAGCAGACCTCCCATTCATAATTCTTTCCTGAGAGCTGGATCTGTTGAACAGGGAAATGTAAACCCTCACATTGGTAGGCGCTGCCCAGGGGAAAGGAAACCCATTGCTGCATTCCCTTGGAATTCCTTTTGGATAGAGAGAAGGTAAATATTAGTGAATTCATTTGCAGTAGAATCATAGGTCTAGAGCCGTGCATGTACCTCAGTTCATACTTCAGAATGATTTCCCCCTACGCCAGTCCTGCAGGCGGCTTTCTACGCTATTTAGTGAGAACACCTGGATACAGAGGATGTTTTCCAACCATGACGGACAGTACCGTGGAATCCGCTCCCCTGAGTTTGAAGCCTAGCTTGGCAGCGTCTTTTAAAAGGAGAGGTTGAACTAGATGACCTCTGAGACCCTTTTCCACCTAACAGATAACATATAATATATAGGAAGCCCTCACTTAACCTCGTCGATAGGTTCTGAGACTTTAAGTAAAAAGATGGATAGTGAAACCATTTTACCATAGACTAACTGAAACAAGAGTTAAGTTCCCATGGCATCTCACCAGCATTAGAACACAGCGATATAAAATGAAACACTATCCCAGGACCTGCTTACTATGATCCTACGACTCTCTGAACGAGCAAAAGTCTGTCTTGTGAAGCAGAAGTGGTCACAAAGCAGAATCCTTGCAAGGCAGTTAGAGCAAAAATGGCACCTCAACGTTTTCAAGCCACAGCAGACTTAAGGGAGAAACAAAATGGCTAAAAATATTTTTCTGCCCACTTGAGAGTTTGGGAGGTCTAAAATTTTTCTCTTCTCATTAAACACTAACTCATCACACTTGGATAGCCTGCAGACGTCTTGAGGGTGGCTTAAACATATTTTCCCAAACGATGGGTCCTTAATCTGGTACGGTGAGTTAGGGGATGGCCAGATGGGCATGGAGAGGCTTCACCCCGCCCATCTTCATCTCTAGCGCTGCCCCCACCTTTTCCGACCACCCCACTGTTTCCAACTTCCTTCAGGTGACTCTGCAGTTGTTGTGGCCACGGAGAACTCCGCCGACCGCATTTGCAATATTTTCTGTAGAAGAGCAAATGGTTTCTTTTAATAGGTAATGAAAGACATTTTAGTTTTAATATAATGAAAGAATATACCAAATATTCTTATGCAGCCACTTGTTTGAAAAAGACGCAGCCTGAGAACTCTAAGTGCATGAAAGCTCCCGGTCACGCCCCTTGCATGGAAAGAAAGGCTCCATGTGTTTGCAGAGACACAGGGAAATACCTGATCCGTCCCCGTCATCAGACAAGTAAAGCCAAGAGCGTGTACACTGGGCTGGGAGCAGTGACACTGACCCAGCCGTCCCCTGGCCTGAATGGAGGGGTCCGCCCAAAGCACCCCAGAATGGCCAGTGTCTTTCTAGTTTTAAACATTTCTAGACAGGAGATGCCATTACTTGGCTTCAGTTCTCTTAGTTTTATTTTAACTGCAATTCCTAGTTAGTAGTCCACAGACTTTTCAGTGTGTACTAGAAAGAACCACTGTCCCCTTATGTCCCACCGCAAACAGAATGTCTGTTAGAAAATTCTCCAAACAATTGGTTTGATCAGCATTTGTAATCTCAGCCTCTCAGTGTCTCTCTCTCTCTCTCTCTCTCTCTCTCTCTCTCTCTCTCTCTCTCTCTCTCTCT